TTTGTCGTGTGTGTTCGGGGCCGAAGGCATTGTGTGCTCACTGTGCGCGGTGCTGTTGCTTGATTAACCGCCGTAGAACGCCGCATATACACACACGGCCGAGCGGGCAGCTCGGCTCTCGCATTATTTACGGCTAATGGTTCAAAACGCGGAAGTCCGCTGGCTGTGTGCGCCACCGTGAGAGAAGCGTTCGCCTGGTTCCAGCGCGGACAAGATTTTTCAAAACGCCTTCCTTAGCCGCTCTAGTGAGACTCGAAAAGCCTCGTAACGCTGTTATAGGACACAAGGTATTGGAAAACGTTATGGTTTTGGAACGATTAGAACTTTCGTTTGTGGGAAAATTTCAATATCTCTCTGTTTCGTTGACAAATTTGTTGGATAAACTTCCAAGATTCGTACATACATACATACGTTAACACTAGGTTTACGGGCATTGATCGCACGTATATATATTGATACCTTTCATGGTGACGATTACCTTGCAATACGATTTTTCTTTTAATTAGAATATGTATTCGTGCTATTGCATCAATCAAATTCAACTTAAGTTGTTAAAAAATAATATTTACGCGTTCTGCAATTTTAAATATGGAATCAGACATCCGTAAATCTAGTGTTGATATAATACAGAATTTTATCAAAAATTGAATATATACGAGTCTGCAAAATTTCATTTTTGATCGATCATTTCTGATATATAAAACAAAACAGAACAGAGTATTTGTTCAAGAATTTAATGTTATCAACGTATTAGGATATGAGTGTTTTAGTAACAAATAAAACTTAGTCTACTCTTTTTAGTTTTATAAGATTTTACTTTAGAGAGAGGCATATCTTTTACTAGTGGCCCTTCACGAACGATTAAAAAATATTCTCACGCTGAGAAAGGACTATGACGCAATTTACTCTTGCCAGTAACTCTTATCTGCAAAGTAAAACCAAAACAGTTTGGTCATCAGTCCACGGAACTACAGTACTACGAACTAATTATACCAGGAAAGGATTTTAGATAGAGATTAAAATTTTGTAATGGAACACTTCTGATATATAAAGTCAAACAATGGTCAATATACATATAAACATACAGATTTGTTGACAAAAGTATAATAGTGTTAAGGTACAATGACTTAGTACTCAATAGTTCAGTCAGATATTATTAACGACTACAATATCAATAGGAATTGCTGAAACTTCAATGAGAACATAGCGTCAAAATAAATATAGAAGACAGCATAAATAATAATAGTTAATATACTCATCGGGTAGAGGATGAAGTACCTTTTAAAATGAGTGTTTATACAAGTCGATAGCATAATTAGTTCCGGAGATATGAAAATTTTTATCTCATGTCGAGCATCAAAGTAAATGTCAAAATAAACACAGAAAATAGCATAAATTATAATAATTGTTATGTTCATAGGATAGGGGATGAAAAGCCCTTTAAAATGAAATTTGTTTCAAGTCGATAGCGTAATTAGTTCCCGAGATATAGCATTTTTAATTTCGCGTCGATGCGGTGGCTAGTTTCGGAGATAGGGTTTGTTTACGTTTTGTAGTGCGCTCGCGAGTTCATTCATCTCGCGCGCGTGACAATAGTAAACAGTGCGTAGTAAATTCTTGGAAATACTACGCGGAAGTAGGTCACGAGAGTCACGTCTCACGTGCGACAAAGAGGTCCAGCGCGACGCGTCAGACGGAGACGGAGATAGTCAAATTAAGAAAAATACCCTTTTACATAAATTACGATATCTCGGAAACGGAAAGTCCGATCGACAAAAACAAAAAGCCATTTTAAAGGGGAGGCTTTGCCGCTTCTAACAATACCTTAATAATTAATAAAACACTAATAGTTTCGGAACTGCACGCATCTAAACTTTTTAGTATTTTCAATACGCGTTAATAGACTTTCGTAAGGCGTAGAGTCAGACGTAGCGGAATTTAAAAAATTACGATTGTCTTTACACTATGATATCTCCAAAACGGAAAGTCGGATCGACAAAAATCAAAAACCACGTTAAAGGGGAAGCTTTGCCGCTTCTAACAATGCCTCAATAATTAATAAAACACTAGTCATTTCGGAACTGCAGGTATTTAAAGTTTGAGAACTTTTAATACGCGTTTCTACACTGTTTATCAAAATATTACTACCAGTAAGTTAATTATTCGAGTAATTTTGTTCGTTACAATTCAATTAAATGTCTTTGACAGTACCGATAATTATTATATCATGAAATTTCGCTTGCTTTGATAGTCTGTTAGCCTCTATTTACCGAGACTAACACGATTTTAATTAATCCGGTTAAACTAGCTGTCGAAATTTGGATACACGATCAACGAGAATTAATCGGTTTTGTAGATGTTGACCAGGCACAAAATACGATCGGAGAAATAACTTGGGAGCCGAATTTTGTTTTTATAGCCGATAGTAATACTTCCCCTCTGTTATATTAAATAACAACAGACTAAGTGAAATATTGGTCGCTTCTCTGTCGACAACTGACATCGTGTTTTACTTCCGTTAGAAGAACAGGGTTTCTTCAGTCCAAGTTTCTAATGAAACCTATCTGTCTTCCTCTTCCACTCACACACATACTTTCTCATTCTTATTCAATTTGAGCGACCCTTCGTCCACGTGCTTCCTCAGGTTTTCACCAGAGAACAAAGTTCGATCTGTCTTTGTTGTTTCCGATTGTCGAAAGCAACCATTGTTCTGTCCAGCCAAACCTTTAAATGTACCCCAAATACATTTGTTCACTAACTACATTTTTACGGTAGAAATGCTATCAGTCATTAATTCATACGACACACGATCTTGATCAACAGTGAAACGACTCTTTCATAAATTCTGATCCATAAATCTGAATTCCATTCAGATATATTCTCTCTCTCTCCAGCGAAATAGTATGGGTGAATGATTGATGGGCGGATATTCGGTATTCCCCGAACTTCGATCACTTCTCGTTCATTAACGGTAAACGATTGCACATCGAATCGATGAATAATCGATCCGCGTATTTGTGTATTCGAACGACACGTGGCTGGATTTACGCTGCGTTCAAAAGGGGCATTGCCATTTTCGAAGCAGTCATTACACTGTTCTATCTTTAAGCCAATGAAATGTTCCATTTGTCCGCTCTGGCTGAATGATACACAATCTTCTTTCCACAGACTTTCACGTTTTCTTTTTTAACGTATTATGCATGCAGTCGCTACAATAATTGCGACCTACAAATTACTGTAGCTATATTTAAATTTTCAAATTTAAAGTTTGACATATAGCTTGTAATATAAATACGTGTTAGTTATTTGAATAACTGCGAATAGTTTAAAAAGAAGCAAATATTTATCGTTAAAATGAATATCGAATGCGTGAAGCTGGTTACATCTATTCTTAAGAATGATCTGTTTGTCAAGATTTTATAGACGATATCTCTGTGAATCGAGCGTAGAAAGTGCGTTTTCCTTTGGAACGAAGACACGAAACGGTAGAAAAGCAAAATGTAGAAAGAGCTATCAAGAAGGTACTAAAACTATCGCCAGTACTGTTACCACGCATTGAAATCGCCGGTGCGACGTTTGTACAACTGTTAACGTTCAATATTTCATCGCGGGAGAACTAGACCCATTATTAATACGAACATTCGTTGTAGGATTTACGGTTTCTTTCCTTGCGAATGTCCGACTCTCAGATTCTTCGTCTTATAAATTGACCGAGATAAAATAATTTTACCGTTCGAAGTCCACCTGTTACCAAGCTATAATACTGATAAAGAACACGTTGAAGTTTAAGGGAACTTTATCGTTATTGTAACTTCTTCGTTCTATCGCGTCGAATATTTCGATTCGATGCAGTTCTCAGTATTTCAGATAAATATAGGCTCGAAGACTCGTTGATGACTGAAATCAATCATGCATTGTCCTTTGTAACGACAGGTTCCGTCGAAGGCTCGATATTCGATGCATAAAACATTACTCGGTATAATAATAAATCAAGAAACCCATTAACTCTGACAAACGATAATGAAAGAAGCAACAGAGAAAGTATGAATTTTATAATTATTCGTTAGAAAAAAATAAATGCAATATTGCTTTCCAGTTAATACTATTTATATTTTCAATCGTTGCTTCTCGCTAGAATTCTTCTTTCTCTAAACTCGACAATCAGCGCGCAGGAACAATTCTACGTTAAATATGGATGCATTCCAATTCTCCGTTTTCCACCCCCGTTTCGTTCTGGGCAGTACTGATTTCGCGCGAAAACAGCGGAAGCAACACCATGGGAAATGGTTTCGCGCGAATCTCGTTCTGAATTTTCGCCGCGCTCAACGATTCCGTGATTCCGAAATTGATCCCCGGCCACCCCCGCCAGCCGCGAGTCTAGAATTACTCGACCGATCGAAGGAAATTGGGTGAACGAATCCACGGATCTCGCGCAAATCGCATTTCCAGCCGAGCTGCGATCGTAAAAGGATCTCGAACGGATTACCGATCGACTATGTCGGCTGGCTTCTGGCGAGAGCCCACGTAAGAAACGCAGAAACAGCGCCATTTCCGTTCTGGGGGGAATTCCAACCTAGCTTCCTGCAGCTCGTCGTGTAATGCACTTGATTATCGATGCCATTTTGGGGAGATCGACGAGAAGATTCGCCGCGATAGGAAATCAATTCGAAATGGCAACTTCGACGACTCTCACACGTCGAGCGATATTTCCGTTTAAGATATTTATTATTCCGAATGTGGAGCAAATATGGATAAATTTTATACGACTTTACTAAAAGTAAGTAGTTTTCCAGGCGTGAAAAATGAAAAATGTTGAGAGTGACGATAGCGAATAAATTATTTCGCATTGCAAGGGATAGTTTTTTAAACGGTATCGAACGTATTTTCGCGTTCCAAGGGCCGTTATTTTGGCGCACCGCGTCAATGAAATATTTATTTCCTGTATAATATAAATAACAACGCGACCGTCGTTCTAACTTTCTGATAAATCGATGTTTCAGGGTCTGGACAATGTGAGCTCGGCGACCCTCAGGCCTTTCAACTCGGACATCAACACACCGAGGATCGACAGCTATAGGTTCTCCATGGCGAACCTCGAAGGTAAGCTATCTCTTTGACAACCGCCCTCTGCTGGGGTGAGTGGCGATCATTCTATCTGGGCGCAATTTCCGTGGCCGCGTTGCGTCGTGCCACGAAGGAACACGTTTCGCAGGGGCAAAAAGTCGAACGTCCTCTTTTGTCCGCCCTCGACGTTCGTCCATTCCTTTCGCGATTCACCTTGTATGTGGGACAGTTTTTCTAGCCTTTCCGCCCTCGTCTATTCCGTGCGTCGTGAATAAGCTAACGGATGGGATCGCCCGGACAAAAGGGACGTTTCATCTCGGCGAAATTGTGGCATATATTTCCAGAATACGCTTAGAAGACAAACAACAAACTTACCAACACAGCCTGTACAAGGAGAACACATATTTCTCTTTTGCTCGATTTTTATTAGGGTTGCTTCAACTTGAAAGGCCATTAGCAACCACGGTCACTATTTCTATAAATTACAAATTTATTAAATACGATCTGGCAGATGCTTATAGAAATTTCAGATTAATATTTGCTGTTTTGTACATATCTGTAATTTATTAGATTCTCCGATACATTCGAGAATTATACATTAAGTAACACTTTTACATATTTTAAGGTGACGAAAATTGAGTCCTTTTCACTCTGAACAGAAATCAATAGGTAATCGAACGATAAAAAATTTCTTTGAGTCCTGTAAATTGCTAGATCTTTGTTTTTCCCCATCACAGATACTTACACCTATGTAATTATGCTAGACGACGTTGGAAAAGATGCGTTCTTGGGGACCAATATTTTCGTCGAACGTTGATACGAGTTTAGGCCAATGGAATCGTCCATAGTAAACGCGTTACGTTCACGAAATCAAACCGATGGTGGCTAATGAGTTTTTCTGTGGACAGAAGAGGGGGAGGGGCTCCGGTAAAGAGCAATTTCCGGTGTTTTATTACACCTTGCAACGATTTCGTGGCGACACGGAGCGCGGCAATAGGACAGAAAACTCGTTCCGACGAGACGATCGCCTACCAATAACGACGCTTCGCGGCCATAGATCACGATTATCGGTAAACTTTGGCCCGAAACGATCGTTTCTAGTCCGGAGAATTTAATAATTCCATATGGAAGACACGCAAGATATCATCCCGGGAGCCTCGATCATCATTAATATGGCATTTAATGATAGATCATATCGAAAGGAAATTTTGGAAGCATTGATGAAAGAATGGAATTATTCAGTTAAAAATGAACAAAGATTCAGATTGATTTGTCAAACTTAACTGTGGATATTTAGCCACAATTTTAGTGATTTATTCGTATTGTCGACAGTAATCACAAATACAAATTCTATTAGGAAACGTTTTATAGTATTTTTTACCGGTAGTTCTAGAATTTCTGCATTTCTAAAATTGTGATCTATCAGTTACGAAACAAAAAGAAACTAAAATTGTAATTGTACAAATTCAGAATTACGAAAACAGTAAACATATCTTAATCAATACTACGTAGCTCTTCTTGTCCTGCATCGAAATGAGAACATTATTATTATAGCTTTTGTATTTTTTATAACTTCGTGACAAAGCATTCCTGAAATCTTTGTTATACGACGTTTCGTTCTTATTTTTACTCGTAGATGGGCAAAATTTTACTTAAATAACACATGAATAATAAATAGATTTGACAGTTCCAACACTTTGACTGCTACCTACTATTGAACCAAACAGATTAATTCTGAATTTGAATTAATAAATTTGATCGAGTTTTTGAAAATAAGCACTGAGTCAAATTTTAAGTTATGTAGTTTGCAATGATCGTAAAACGTTAGTCTTGCAGAGTATTATACAGTTCTGATCTGTGAATGCCTGAAATTCTAATTTTTATTCGACGTGCATCTTGAGTTATTTGTCTTTCGTTGGTCGTTGCCTTTATCTGTATAAGAATGTTGCCCATCTTCGATCCCCGGCCACGTTTCGTTGCAGTTATCGGGGCAATATCCGATACAGTTCCCTGGTAAGCAGAATCGATGTTCGTCGAACAACGTTCATTGTTCGCGGGCGTTTCGAGGCTCGGTCGTGGCTCGAATCGCCGGTCACGTCCAGCTCGTCGTCCCCTGCGGTGATTCTGCGGCAGCTGCAGTTGCAACTGCAGCAGCGTCGAGCCTCGCACCCACAACATCGACCTTATCTGACATCTTTTGAACTAGCTCCAGCCTCTCCCCCTTCGGTACAGAGCCACGGGGGAAAAATCCTAGGCCCCCGTCCCGTGCCGGCGTCGGCTTTCACGTCGTATCAGCGGATTTATGCTCGACGGTGCCGCATCGCCGCCCTAACCGCACGTTGCACGCGCTCGATAATATCCCGCGTTGCGGTTTCACGATCCCTCCTTCGCGCCTTCTACGCCACCAGCCTCGCGGTACTCTCCGTCCCTCGAACCCACCCAGCCCCCATCTTGTTACTCGTGCCTGGAATTTCTTAATTTGCCCTGCTCGTTTTCAATTATATTTCGTTCTTTTCCGTCCTCGTTCAGGGGTGAACAAACCCGCCAAAGTGTCCACTTTCGTCGCCGTGTCGGAGCCCGGAAAGCCCCTCTGCGATCTCGTTTAGGGTATTCGCGAGTAGGGACGTTCTTTGTAAATAAAATAAACTCTGGAAGATTGAGTCCTACGACATCGATTTTGAGAAACTGGCTCTCTAGTCGGATGAGGCTTTTGCTGTTCTTTGATTTGAACTTAATCTTGATTCACTTAATTTTGACAATTTTCACCGGAAATATTCTTCTGATTTCTCTTTAGTGAAGTATATTTTTGACGTATTAAACATTGAACAGTATGTGTATTATTACAATGTAAAATAAAACATTTATCTAGCGACTTCAAAAAGCTCGAGATCTACAATTATTAGGAGTACGCTCCTACCACGCGTTGAAGTCTCCCGAACGGCGTGTTTATCGATCTCATTTCCACTATTTTATCGTACGAAGACTTGTCACAATTTATCCCCATGCAAATAACTTTTCTTTAAATTAAAAAATTTACCTTGAAAACTGCCCTGTCATACAATATGCAGTCAATTTTAAATAGAAAAAATTTCAGAATTGTATTATTTAACGATTACTACATAGCTCATTCCATAACCATTGTATCTTCTAGAGATACAAATATTATGTCGTCCCATATGTTCGTGTCGAGTTTTCTACTGCAACTTGAAGTAATATTTTAAACATGTAATGGAATTTTATGAAAAATAGTAAACCTCTTCTCATTCGACAACACCCTCGAATACTCGTATCGTCCTTAGAAAACATGTTTCATTTTTTTAAAAATGTAGTTCAATGCCTTTCCTTAAAACGTTAACATTTTCAAATTATTTACCCACTAATAAGCCTGGAGATTGTTACATTTTATTTCTTGTAATTGATTATAATATTAGAATATGATTAGAATATTAAATATTGATTCCAATCTTCGAACTTCGACACAATATCTATTCGTTTCAAATTTCTATGAATTGTTAATGTTACTATATTTGAAGTTTCAGAAGTCCCCTCGACTGACAAGTTTTCTTTGTTTTCTATTAAATTACTATCCTCGTCAATTTCAGAATATCGAACGGCACGGACTTATGGGACGACCTAATACATCTCACGGTACAATTCTGCGAAAACATATCGAAATCAAGAAATTAAAAAAGAATTATAAAGATATTAAAGTATCCAGAAAGTTGAGCCTTTATTTTGTTGGTGCAGAATTACAGTAATATATCAACGTTGAAAAACATTTAAAATTTAAGTCTTTTGGCTGATAATAGTACGATAATATATCGAAATTGAGAAATTTTCAATGTGGACTCGAGCCTTCCGAAGAAGACTTGTATTCGTTCTTTCGTGCAGCGCGAGCAAAATGACTATTTTGAGAAAGCAGAAGGATTATTATACGGTGCTGGAATAGCAGATTAGTCAGAAAGCCACAAAATCATACATATTTCTCTTGTCGAAACTTTAAACGCGATTTACTCGAAACTTCTTTTTTCGCTAAGTTCAAAATCGGTGTACACGATTACTCAAAAACTACTCAACTTATCCGACTGAAATTTAATACACATTTTAATGGTAGTAATGTCTCATGGATGAACTTAAAAGTAAGTTAAAATCACGGAAATAAACATCATTTTTAATGCAAAAACGAATACAAGTCTTCTTTGAAATATTAAGCTTTTTGCTCCGAGGTCTGCCATTTTTCCAATTTTTAATTTTCTTTCAATATCTTCGGTTCATCCATTTACTATTGTTGTATACTAATCATATTTCGTTACTTAGCAGATTCGGATAATAAAAACCGACACTAGAGTGTACATCGTTTCAGAAGACGTCTTGCGACGCTTCTAGCAAATCATGCTGTATCTCCACCATTTTGCATTTTATTTGAACAAAAAAAATTGCAAAATGAAATTGAAGTATATTCCAAATAGTCCTCAAAATCTTACAAATATTTATTAATTCCTTATCCTTCGAAATAATTCTTGAAAATCGGCTTAATTTCGGATTTCTGCATAGAGGTCCCCCCTTAAATATCGGAGCGTCGTTCCCATCGCTAGCCACCCACGCGAGTGCTGGGGGTCTCCGTGAATCAGGCACTCGCGGGTACGAGAGGTCGCGAGGTAATGGCGGTTTGTCCAGTATCGCTCGAGGGCGGACAATCGATACGGTAATACGTCGATGCTTTCTCGTACGAGTCGCGCGCAAAACGACAGATTTATGACACCGTAACCGAGGGAATTATTATTTTTGCCCGGGCAGGGTTTAATGGTTCGCGTGGGAGCGACGAGGACGTCGCGAGCGACACGTCGTCCTAATTTGGAATATTTATCTTCATTTTCGTATTTTTCGGCGTACGCGAATTAATCATTTCAGCGTTGGAAATCGCGACGGGGCAATTCATTGTCGTATTACAAATTCTGCCGGGGATTAATCGTTCACGGATTATAAACTCTGCTCGAATTAATCATTTTCGGGTTGTAAATTATAACGAACGATCC